AGAGTACTGTGTGGCCTTGACTCCATCCTTCTGAGCCTAGTTTAGTTTTTTTCAAAGTGGGAATGATAGCACTTCCTTTGTAGCTGTTGTTGGAGTTAAATGAGTCAGCTTGGGTCGGATAGCCATCCTGAGCTTGGCACTAAGAGGAACTAGAAAACATGGCAGCTGCAGGTCCTACCCTCTCTCCTGCTCCCCATTAGGCAGGGTCTCCTCTGGGGCAGACGACCTGCTAGAGTGCTAGTTGCAGTTTGTCCTTGTATGTTCCCTCTTGTTGAGAGCAGAAGTGGTGAATCCTGCTAGAAGAAATTGACTTCAAACAATTCTTACTATGTTTTAAGGGTGTCAGCATGGAAGCCATGAATGAAAATAAAATGGTGTCCTCTGAGTTTAGCACAACACCAGTGGAAAAAGCTGGAAAACCTTTGCCGTTTAAGGATCCTAACTTTGTGGTAAGTTTCTAAGGCATTATATTCATAAAAAAAAAAAAACAAAAAAAACAATCACGTGTTGGCTACTGATCATGCTGGGCCTGCAGCTTTGGTGGCTCTGGTGTCCCCATCTTCTAAGTTGCAACCTTTTCCCCATGGGCTGTTATGGGAGGGAAGGGGCAGGATAAGAAGGATCCTTCCTGTGGATCTTCTACTTTGCCAGAGCCCAAGGACTTTGGTACCTTTGTGGAATTAATTAAAGGATAACATTTTGAGGGTGGGTCATTCCCATGATGATTGCTTCCCTTCCCTTTTTATTGGTCTTGCATTAGTTTCAGGTAAGGCTTGAAATATTTAACTGAAAGAAGAGTGTTCCTCATTAATTTCTTTAAACAAATTTAAGTGATGTTCTATGAAGTAGAAATGGGCACTTTTTCTTTCATTCTTAAGGGATATAATAACATTGACTCAAAGATTTGGATTACACTATTAAGTTTATTTTTTATGAATGAGTTTTGTAAATACAGTGTTACTAGTGTCACAAATATTTTGGTAGTTTTTTTTCCATTTTATTTTGTAATCTTCATAGGACCAAAAAAAGAGAGAGATTTCCAGAAGGCTTGCCATGCCACAATTGAGGCTTACTCAAGTTTTCCAGGATCACTAGTAATTTGGAAGGCAGAGACTTGCCCTCAGAAAGGAGTTTAGGGATTCCATCATGAGATTAAATCTAAGTTTGTAGTAAATTTATTTTAAGGTGATCAAGTCATGAGTGAATTCTGCAAAGTTAGACCCAATAAAAGATTTGATTTTGTGTGTGCATATAAAAACATAACCTTTTATTTCTATTCTATCACCAGTTAACTCGTAGATTTTGACAGTCCAAATTTTCATTTGTTCAAATTAAAATGAGTATACAATGAAGTACTTTTTAAACAGGTCTCAGAGTACAAATTATTGGTGCTAGAATGAAAGGTACTTAACAGTTATGATAGCATAAATGTCAGATTCTCATAGTAGTCTCTGTGGATTTTTGTTTTTTCTAACCTATGCTTTTAACTTGAGCACTCTGGCCATGGTGGTGCAGTAGCTGGCAAGAAGAACAGAACCTGGAAGAACCTGAAACAAATTCTCGCTGCTGAAAGGGCATTGCCGTGGCAACTGAATGATCCTAACTGTGAGCTGTCTAGAGTCTTCCATGTGATTATAGTGCTCAGACTAGGAATTTCCTTAAGACAGACCTGTGTTATTTTATTGTGTTTGCTTTATTGTAGGAAATTGTTTTTAGCTTGAAAATTTTATAGTGGCATTGATCTAGGAATATTATGTGTGTATTACCTGTGAACTGTGCCTGTGTTGAACCTGTTTGTGTTGTCATGGGTTAGAGTTAGTGTCATTATTAACATTTCAGTTTGAGAGATAGGTCCTGCTATGATAATATTGATGTTTCTATTAGACAAAATTCTTATTTAAAAGTCTACTCTTAAAATTAAGAATAAGGTAGCCCAAGTATAATGCTAGATTTAGGAGATTCCAACAACCAGCTTAAAGTCCAACTCTTTTGCACTCTTAAGCCAGCATCTTTGAATGTGAATACTTTCTGCTGCATTATGTTTAAATTTATATAAAACACTGTTAGATGTTCTGTTGAACTTCATTGTAAAATGCAGGTTCATTGATCACTACACCTCCTGTCTTGCTGTATGTCTTTCATGGGGGTGACTCAGATGGATGACAAATAAGCTAGTCAGTCATCTAGGTGTGGACATGCAGGAGTCTGGGTGCTCAGATCCAGTTAGTGGGTTATTTGACATTTCATTACCATCAACCCATGGAGCCTGAGATTGTGAAAGTAGCTTGTGGGCAGATGAATTTTCCAGCAATACTGCTGGAACAGAATGTCCTTGGTGACAAGGCAGGGCTGGATCCAACCCTGTACTTGGTCTGTAACATACTATACTATTTTTCTAAGACTCCTCTCTTATTTGCTTGGTTAATCCACATAATCCATAATCATAAAGGAAAATTTCAGGAATATTATCAAATGTTATTTACTGTGGTGGGGGGAAGGAGAGAAAGAGAGGAATGGAATTAGAATGTTTTAAGGCAAGTTTAGTCATCTCTTTTTTTCCCCCCCTCAGACTTTAGTATTGATGCTCCTCCATCCTTTAAACCAGCCAAGAAGTATTCTGATGTTTCAGTTCTTCTTGTGAGTATAATTATATCTCTATTTATTATAACATTAAACTGAAGAAGATTTCAGAGTAATGTCCAGACTGTGTTCAATATCCACCACCAATGATTCTGCCTACAGCCCAGGTACTATGAATAGGTAATAGGTTTGTGCAAGGCATCCATTCTGCAATCTGGGACAGCTATGTGGGCATCCCAGAGGGAGGATTGTTCTAGAAATCAGGAGACATGAGTTTTACTTCCTTTTTCTCGGATAGTTAACTATTTGGAACAATATGAAAGAGACAATTACCTTTTTAACTGCCAAAGTTTCAAAAACCTGCATTTTAGATGATTATACTTAAAACAATATATTTAGGGCTGGAGGTGTAGGTCAGTCATAGAATGATGGCCTCACATGCTTTAGACCCTGGGTTTGATCTCTAGCATTGGAAAAAAAAAAAAAAGTAAATGTTTCCATGGAAGCACTGTGATTTCCAAACTTAAGCACCAGACCCCCCCCCTTTTTTTCTCCAAATAAAATCATAAGAGAATCCATACATCTAAAAGAGCTAGAGTCCTTCCTAGCCATTGAGGTCTCCTGGTCCTTTTCCTCCTCCCTACCCCCATCCTGATGACCCCCTCAAGTGCTTCTAGGGAACAAAGTTTGGAAACTACTAGTGGAGCTGGAAGTAGGAATTGGGGAAGTGGGAATTGGGCAAGTTACTGAAACTCAGAAACTGAAAAGAGCCCTATTTCCTTATTTGTAGAATATAGAGCAAGTGGGGTACTTGTAAAGACATCTTCCCCTCACCTTCTTAATCTGTTCTTCATATCTTATGAATTTGTAAGATGGGCTTTTTCTCATAACTATAGAAATAAAACTTGCTGTTTTTTAAACATCTATCTCTTAAATCCTTATATTTTAATGAAAATGTGTGATCCCCAAATTCTATAACAAATTGACCAAATTAGTTATATACATTATAAAGAAGAATTGCCTCCTTCCTATATCCTTTTTTGGGGGAATTGCCTTTTTATATATATCCTTCTTTATTCCTAATCATTTTCATTGTTCCGAACTCATTTTCATTTGTTTTCCATTAGTACTGTATATGCTATAGTTTGAATATAATTTGTCCCCCAAAAGTTCATGTACTRTAAAGCTTGGTCTCCAGTGTGACTTGAGCTCCTGCTTCCTGCCTGGTAGTCAGGAAATGGTCATGGCAGAGGGAGTTGGTATGATCCTAGATCTCATCTTATAGGCTTCTTTTTTTTAAATAGGCTTCTTTTTTTTTTTTTTTTCAGCCACTATAATCTTGTACTACCTCTTATCTCTTTCTCAAAAATAGCTGCTTCATATTTTTTTAACCATCTTAATAGTTGTTTGTGGCAGGAGAACTAGTCTGGCACCAGTTATTCTGTTATGGCCCAAACTGGAAATCTCTTGCTGTGTCAATTCAAGCTTTTGGAAGCCAGACCCCTTAGAATGTCAGCTTTATCCTCACCATTTTGGGCAGTTCATTTACTAGTATAATTTCACCTGTTAGGAGGCATGAGCGCTATTTTGAGAAACATTATTCCAGGTCTCTTTTTGCCATTGGTGAAGGTCTTGCTGTGTTACACAGTACTTGAAACCTCTTCCCCCACTTCTTTGTGAGAATTAAAACATTCCGCATATWCAAAAAACATCAAATCATTGAAAGACAGTTCCATAGGAAAATGRGCAAAAGAATAAGAATTAGAAATTATAGTAGAAGAATGTAGATGACTAATAAGTAAGCATTTGTCTGGTAATTATAAAAAGGACTCATTCTACAGGGAAGAAATTAAAGACTTTTTTTTTCCCCCCCTGTACTGGAGATTGAACCCAAGGATACTTTACCATTGATCCACATCCTCAGCCCTTTTTATTTATTTTTTTATTTTGAGTCAGGGTCTCATTGAGTTGCTTAGGACCTTGCTAAGTTACTAAAGCTGGTCTGGAACTTGCAATCCTCCTTCTACCTTCCCAAGTTGTGTGCCACTATGCCGGGCAAGAAATTAAGATGTTTGATTACATATTTTGGCCCCAACATAAGGAAGTGGATATTCTCATACATTGCTGTTTTCAGGTGGGAATGTGCATTAATACAGCTTCTTGAAATGACAATTTGGCATTTCTCTTATAACACAAAAGCAAATGAATAATCCAGCAATTTGCCTTCTAGGCAGTTGTCTAGAGAAATAGGTGCACAAGGAGCTTTATGCAGAAATACTTATGGAAACTGTGTTAGCAAAATGTTGGAAACAACAGAAAGCTCTATCACAGGGTATATTGTCACATTGTTCTGTGAGCTTGATGCATATCAACATGCTTAAAGTTCTAGGATGCAAAACAGCATAAAATCAGCATGCAGTGTGCACTTCTGTAGCATATATGTCAAAATTAGAATGATATAGAGATGATTAGCACAGCCCCTGTGCAAGGATAACATGCAAATTCACGAAGTGTTCCATTTTTTAAATTCTTATTTTTTACTATGCCAAGTTTAGTTTTTCTTCCATAGGATTTCGTACAAAACAGGAATAAGCAAATTATGGCCTACATGGCAGATTTATTTATTTTCTATTTTACTGTGGCCCATGAGTATCTTTGTTGTTATTGGTTATAAGTTCTTTATAGTTGTTGTGTGGTTCTTAGTATTCATGTGACTTAAACTGTGTCTTTAAGTAGCATTATACCATTTTATATATAAGAACCTTGTAGGGGTATACTTGTATTTATTTCTTTTCAGTACCATGCTTGTTGTATACTTTACTCCTACATGTTATAAACCCCACAAAAACTTGTTATTATCTTGCTCCAAGTGGTCAACACATTTTTAAAGAATTTGAAAATAAGAAAAAATAAATCTTTACTCATCCACAAAAATAACACATTCACAAAAAAAGACATGTTGACTAATTTCTCTGTTGTTTTTGTGTTAAGGGTATAAATAAAAACTTCTGGAAGAGTGCCCACACCTAGCGGTGGTTTCCTCAGGGGAAAGCAAGGACTTGTGGGTGGAAGGCAATGGTAAAGGGAGACTTTAGTCTTACTTGTACTGTTTTATTTTTTTTCCCAAAGGAGAACATGGTTCACTTATTATTTGTATAATTTAAAGTTACATAATTAAAAACTAAAGCCTAACTCATATTTACAGTGACACACCTGTCCTCAGCCAGCCACATGACTGTTTCCTCTGCACTTGGGCATGGCAAGAAGACATGTGGAGGTCACATCTGTGTTTAACCCTCATTACAAAGCTATGGAAAATGTTAAGACTCTGGGTGAGATGGGGAAGCTGTGAGCACTGCCTGTAACTCTTTGCTTGTCACCCTGCAGCAAGGGGGACTAAAGCTGATTGCCATTTAGGAACATGACCTCTGTTTGTTGCATCCAGGCTCAAGGGACAGGATGCAGAGGCAGGTAGACTGTGGAGATGAGCTTCCTCACTTGTTCATCTCTGGGGTATTACTTGGCATCCTTCCTTGAGTTCAAAATGCAGGATGCTGGCTCCTGGGTCAGGCCCATACTGTTCCAGTTTTTGTTGGTGCCACAGGATCTCTGTATCCCACATTGTTTCTTCAGCAGCCTTCTTGGCAGTAAGGTCTGAACTTGGGTAGCTTAACTAACACAGATTGGTGTAAGGAGAGAGGCATCCATGCAGTGGAGCYAAACTGAAGCCAGCTCATATATGGAGGCCAGGTGGTCCTCACCAGATGACATGCCTGCACCCTTCTCAGAGCTTCAGATAGTCTTCCCCTGCCAGATAGTTAATCTAACTGCCTCAGGGCCATGAGCCCTCGAAAGAGACTTGTCACTGTTTTTCTAATTAAGTTTTCCCTTATAGTACTATCATTAAAGGAAATGTAGTACAGAAAGGCACTATTTAGATCAAGCAAGAGGATCAAAGTTTTATTTTATATAGAGCTTTAATTAATCTTTACTTTTTGGGAATACATCCCACTTTCCTGACACACAGCAGCTAAATACTGTAGGGAGATGCCAGGTGGCAGGAGTGAGAACATGAGAAACCTATGACTCAGTTCCTTTCGGCTTGTTGCCTCTTCTCTGAAGTCTTCCCCCTCATCAAGCCACAAAATTACTAAGAGTCTAGGTCCATACACACATGACAGCAGTGGAGCAGACAGTCCACCCTTGAATAATTGGACATTATCTGTCTAGACTTTAATGCCATCTTTTATAATTTTTTAAATGGAACTTAAAATTACYCATATTTTTTAAAATAAAATCTATAGAAGCCATGCTCTTTGAGATATATAGTAAGCAAATTATTTTGTCTGCTTTGCACATGGGAAAAATAGACTGAAAGAGAATTTTGATGTGTCTAGGAAACAAGTACTCTTTTCTTTTGTGATGGTCCTGATTGTCTGTTTCTTTGTTTGTCATTCATTCATTCAGTCATTCAGTATATAACCACTGATGGCTCCCTGTGCTGTCTGCATTGCACAGGAACTGGTCTACAATGATAAGCCAGCCAGCTTACTTCTACCTTGTGGAGCCTCACAGCCTAAACCTTAATCAGAGAGTATGTAAATAGTAGACTTCAAAGCAGCAGAGATAAGCATTGCTCAGGAGAGCTCCACAGTGCTATGAATATGACCCTCTGCAGAGGCACTGATAAACCTTCCTTGAAGCTGTGACTCACCTTCAAGTGGCAGGAGGGGTGTGGGTCCAGAAAGCATGGGAGCAGCGCCTGCCTTGAGGAGCACAGACCTGGGGCACTTACTGGAAGGGAGTGGCTGTTGGAAGGCAGGGATTGATGACCATCATGAATTCAGTTTTGGAACTGTTGCTTGCAACCCTTGAGGGACCAAGAAGAAGGGTCCTAGAATAGGATGTGGTTGTTCTTTCTGTCTGTTCCCTGAAGTGTTTCTCAAGTCTGAGGAGATTAATGAGTCTTTGTCAAAGTGAGCAATTTAGTGTTCTTGGTGACAGTAAAACATAATGAAGATATATTTTGCTTTTTGTAAAGTAGAAAAAATGTTAAGACTTGTGCTTGAACTTGAAACACCACAACCAAAAACTTTGTCCTTCACTGTGCCCATATCTCACGCAGGCCAACTACACAGACCCCCAGAGCAAGCTTCGGTTCAGTACTATTGAAGAATTTTCCTATATTAGGAGGCTGCCATCTGATGTCATCACTGGCTACCTGGCTCTAAGGAAGGCCACGAGCATTGTTCCCTGAGCCTGAGCAGTGGAGATGAAGTGGGAACTGTTTCAAAGGCAGACTTTGGGCTCGATTTTGTTTCATGGAAACAAACGCATTCTGCTGTCAATCTCAAAATGTCAATGCTGTGCCTTGGAAAGAATGTTTGGCTTTAATTTAAGGGTTTTTAAAATTTTTTTATTTCTCTGTTTTCCCTCCAAGTGTGATATTTCCTGTTGAATTAAATTATATTTCAGTTGTTGCCTCAAGTAAAATTGTTTGACAAGAAAATACAATAAAATTGTGCTTTTAATTTAACCCAAGTAAGTACCATATTTTTATTTCTAAGCTGTGAACTCTTGTCTAACATTTAAAGATTCTGCAGTGAATCCACAACAGATCTGAATTATTCTTGATCCTAGTGACTCTCTTTTTAGAGCATGTTACCCTTTCTCTTGGATTAGAATGATCAGAAGATTGGAAGAAGTCTAAAATTTGGAATGAAGAAGAAAGAGCTGTGTGCCCCATCCTATCACACTGGACCAGTCCTTTGCCCTGTGCCTCAGCCTTTCCTTGTCCCTGGACACATGGGAACCAACACTGATGCTCCCTGTCTAAGAATAATCTTGTCTTGGTGGAGGATGCTGCCCCTTGGSCTGCAGCCTGCTCCAGGAAGTTGGCATGTGCTTCCCTGTTCTACAAGGAGAGGAAACATTTCCTTGGACCAGGAAAAGGAGTCTGGAGACATGCCTGGCTTTGCTGAGCCCTGTTGCCAGTTGTCATGTTTCTGTAGGATAGGTGGTAGTACCAGGCCTTGGATCTTCTGGGCCAGGGCCGCCTCTACTTTATAGAGGATTGGACACCCAGATGCCCTTTCTGGGGACAGCCCCTCCTACAACCCACCCCAGGCATAGAGAAAAGAAAAAACAAAGCCTCATCAGCTGGGAGTRCAACCTGCTAGCTGGTAGCAACTACCTAAAACTTGACTTTCCTCCTACCAGGTACAGTAGCCCCAATGTCCTTCGGTACCTTCTCACTAGTGGTAACAGAGAAGGGGTGTTGTGTAGCATCCCCTTCCCCATAACAAGGGACCTATGGTGACTAGGAAAGGAGGGAGCTTTCCTCAGCCCATGGTCACCAAGCATTTGAGCCTCTGGTGCCAGGGTTCTCAAACCATAGCCACATCAGAGTCACCTGAGGGCTTCTGAGGGCTTTATAATAAGAGACGTTGTGAGGTATGCTCTGATGGTGAAATTGAGGTGTCTGAAAAGTCAGAGGCTTCTGCCTGGCTCCTACACTGGCCTTCACACTTCCTGCCTTCAGGAAACACCCCAGCTTCCTTTTCAATGGAGAACAGTTAGTCAAGGACACTTCCTGCTTCTGCTTCCATTTTCTATTATGTAGAGTAAACTTGGGGTCAGTCCATGTCTTCCTCGAAGACCCTCTCACCAAATGGGCATTTCCATTCAATACTGATGCTAGATGCTGCCTCAGTCCTACCTATTCAGGCTCTATGGGTTGTGAGGGACTAAAGAGAGAAGCCCTGCCCTGCACATGTCCTCTGAGAGGACCTGCAGACTGTTGCTTCCATRGGCCTCAATGTTTCTGGATGTGTATTCCATGAACCCTCTGAGTCAAGTGGGAGACTGCTAAAATGCAGTCTCCTGATTCACATTTGAAACCCTTTTGGCAGACTCAGGGAGTGAGGCTCAGAAATCTACATTTAAAAAGTGTGGTTATAATACACACAGGAGTTTGAGAATCACGCAAGATTGTGGACTGGACAATTTGGTCCTATCTTTCCTGTTCCTCTGCTAGGTTTTCCCCATGGGCCTCTTTGCTGAAGAGCTGTGAGTTCCAAAGTTCAGGTCATTTCTCACCCCAAYCTCCAGAAGTTCAAGCTGAGCCAAACCAAGCATCAAACTCTGAATATTTTCAATGAGTCCTATAGATTTAGAATGGGCAGGTAATCAATCCAGTGCTGAAATAGCCCTTGCCATCCATGTGGTGGCCCAGCCCTGGCTATATGCAAGAATCGTTTGTGTGTGACTCACTTTCTCCATTTCTTTTTCTATATTTTTAATTTTGTTCTAAAGCAGGAACTAGAACCAAATAAAATTAAAGCATTGTTTTGGTTTGATTGGCCTAATATTCTTCAAAGAGCTGAGGATGACTCACAGACTGTGCCCCTTTTATTAGTAATTAAACTGAAAGATCATATCAGCTCATAATGGCTGATTAAATACCAAGGCTATACCTCACTGAACAACACTCCTAAATTTAAACTGATATTGTTTAATATTGCTC